GCGGCGGTGTAGTTTGAAAAGAACCTGCGGAAGGTCTAAAGTCTTGGGATCTTTGGTTTCAAGGGCTTACCTACAGTCTCCATTGTAGTTCCTTTTTGGGGATACCTCATAGAATCCTTAATATATAATTGGTTAAACCAAAAAAAGGAACTACAATGGAGACTATAGGTATATAGGAGTTTCAGGGTTTCAGCACTCACTCTCGGACTTGCCTAGGCGAGGTTCCTAGGTTCAGGGTTTAGGGTTTCGGAGTTTCAGGGCTTATGGTTTGGGAGATTCAGGGCTTAGGGTTTAGGAGTTTCAGGGTTTAAGGCTTAGGAGTTTCAGGGTTTAAGGCTCTAAGGTTTCAGGGCTTAGGGCTTTGGGGTTTACAATTTGAGCTTCAGGAATTCGGGTTCATGGTATCCTGGGTTTAGGGTCTACGAAAGGGAAGTCTTGCGTTCAGGCTTCTTTAGGGCTTAATCTTAATTACAAAAGGTTTATTATCAGGTTCATAAAGTCTGCAAAGGTTCAAGGCTTTGTACAAATCCATGAGAATTTGTATTATTTCTGTAAGTCTTTATGAGGGCAGTGTGTGAAGTGGTCTAGACGGAGTGTCGGGCTGATGGCTCATTATAGGGTATAGATCCATGAAAAAGATGCTATGTTTAGAGGTCAGGGTTGTAGGGTTTAGGGTTTAGGGTAGTTGGGCCAAAAGACTTGCCAAAGGAGCCATAGGCAGACATATGGCATCCGTTTTTTCACAGGAGACTCGACTGCTGCCCTTACTTCCTAGCTCGACCCACAACACAGTAACACAGCACTCATGACTGCATCGTGAGACAGGGCACATTACATATGCCAACCATGAGCCTGAACATCGTAAACCCTAAAGCCCAAACCCTTAACAAAAACGGGCTGAGGACCCTCTTTGCACCTGCATCCTTCCGTTCTTCGATGATCATCTCCGCCATTCGCGCAGAAGGTGAGACAGGTACGCACCTGGTCAGGGCTTTGAGTTTGGGGGTTGCGGCTGGTGGCTTGGCTTAGGGCCTAGGATTTTCGGTTTACAGTAGCGCTCTTTTGGTTGAGGGTCTTGGGGTTGCGGACTTCGGGCTGGTGTGTGCTTTCATCACAACATGAAACGAGCGGGGACTATAATGCCGGAGGGAAGTGGAGGAAGAGGGTGCGGGGTGAGAAGCTGCCTTCCCGAACTCATGGGAGGTCACCAGGCAACCACCTGCAACTGAGCTGAAATCCGTGCTCGGGTCATGTCCAGCCATCTCAGCGCGAATTGGCGCGACATCACTGGTGTAGACCATGACAGCAGCGAAGCAGAGGATGGGCCCGAAACAGATGCTCAGTCCCCCAACAAAGCGGAACCACGTCATCACACAGTCGAGTGAGCATCTTGAAGGGACCATGGCGCAGAGTTGCAAACGATCGTGCGTGGTTCTGTGGTGATCGTAGCACCAAACAGGCAGCATACATGGTTCGTACTTCTCTCTTGGTGGACCTAATTCAATCTGTGCAGTCGGGGCTGGGATAAAAACAGATGTGTTGGACGCACGGTTTCATCACGAGATCCAGAATGCCTGAGCCAGAAATCCACGGACCGGTCTATCTGTTCACCTCTGTGTTGATATGAGCATTTGCAACTCTATAGACCCTGAAACATAAACCCCCAACCCTCAACCATTGAGAACAGAGACACCCAACGATCGCCAGAATACAATTGCATTGATCAAGACAAGAGGACAAGAATCATTATGGTTTAAGGTCTATTCCTTACCCCAAACCCTATAGATCCCTATAGATATGGAACCCCTTAAGAATCTCAGTGGACCGTAGCAGGGTCTGACGAAGCCACAGGCCGCAGGCTGCAATTTCCAAGCTCTGAAGTATCCCAAACCCCTGAACCTTAAACCCTAGTTACTTAACCGAAGCCAGCAGACCGTTAAGCATTTGTATTTTCATATATATATATATATGTATACATATAAATATCCCGAAACGCAACCAGTTCAAACCCTTGCAACGTGAAAGGTCTCCAGAAACCCACCCATGTATGGTTTGCATGGGGCTTACGGGTAAAGCCATAAACCTGAAGCAACAAGCTCCGAAACCGTGTAATTGAATGCCACACTGCCGCCCCGAAGCAGTGATGGCCCCTAGCCCACTCCGTCAGCATGTCATATCATGTGCAGCCCCTAATACCCAAAGCCCGAGATCCCTAGATAATGTAGGAGCCTTAATGATTAGATCAGGGTTTTGGGCTCCTTTATACTATCACTATCTAAGGAAACCCGAACAGTAATTTTGATAGTTATTTACGCATCTATATTATCCGAAACTCGAAAAAGCCAAGTTCTTGAGATCTTCACCTACGATAGTTTTTGTGTGCACGCCGAGATGGACAGCACGACATCTCCCCATGGAGGAGCCTTTACAACCGAGCTTGGGCTCCGAGATGCAGAGGGCGAACCCGTGGCGGGGCTCCACTTAGATGATTACGACGTATTTTCAGAGGGTTTTGGGTCCAGGCTTTAGGCGACTTTAAGGGAAAAGCTTTGGAGGCGGGAACAGGGTTGAGGGTATCAGGGTATTGCAACAGCCTTCAGGCTTTCGGCTTTGAGTTTAGACTCCAGGAATATATTTTGGTTGGAGGTCTAAAGCGGCACAAATAAGCCTAAAGCTGCGGTGTGTTTTAAGGTTTGTCTCGGATGTGTACGAATCTACAACATCTGCTGCATACCGGGTGCTTCGCACATTCCTGAGTTGTGAAGGAATGCTAACTAGCTTGTGCGCTGAGAATCTTCTCAAAAGCCCCGATGCCCAATGCCGTCGAGACAGCAAGACCCATAAGCCTAAACCCTAAGTCCCTAAATCCCTAAACCCCGCAAAACCCTAAATCCCAAAACCCTAAATCCCTAAACCCCTAAACCCCTAAATCTCTACACCCTAAGCCCTAAGCCTTCCCAGCGAAATCCTAGGCCTGAAGATCCCAAGACTCTGAAAGCCGCAGACCCGAGACATTGCTCCACGAGAACCCCGAAGACCAGCTGAAGCCCTTACAGTTTAGGGGTTTAAGGGTTTAGGGGATAGGGTTCAGGGTTTAGGGGTTTAGGGGTTTAGGGTTTAGGATTTAGGGAATCTCGAAACCAATAAACACCTAAACCCACAACGCCAAGGCAGATGTGATAAAACCAAGCACTGCTTTACATCACCAAGTCGAACCCTAAACCATCTGTGGAACTAACTCATGTGTCATGGAGTTGCTGCATCGGATACGTGGCGCCGGTGTGGGGTCTTGAGGCTCGGGGTGTTGAGGGGTTTCGGGGCTGCAGAAAGCGAGATGCCTAGGAAACAAACCAGAAGAGGATTGCAAGTTGCATACTGGAAACAAATTCAGGTGGAGGAGTCTATAGGATTTGAGGATCGAGGTTGGAAAACTCTTCGGAATTCTAAAGCCTCAAGCCTCAGGCAATCAACCCAAGCATTACCTCGCCCAAGACATGCTCTGCGGCTGCTTTGCAGCGCTGCAGCTAAGGGTGGGCTTAGGACCTTGGATCTACGATACTATACCATACGATGCTATACTATGATATACGATACTATCCTGCACTAGAATATACTATACTACGCCATGCTAAGAATTACTACGAGTATATTACATAGACCTTCGAAAATCCATTCAGTTTCAGGGTTTTTGGGAAAACCGTTTAGGTTTTTGGGCTTTTGGGGACCATGGTTTGGGGATCATGGGGGAATTTTCCAGTGTTAGGGATGAGGGGTTTTTGAAAGACATTCACATCAATCAATCTGGGTACGGGCTTTGGGGATTCTAGGCTACAGTGTTCAGGGATTACGGGGATTTGGAAGTCACCAAGCGTGTTCTGACAACATTAAGGCGAAAGTGCGAAACATTGCCCCTAAACCCTAAACCCTAAACCGTCGTGGTGCGGGTATCGCTCGTTATAAGAAGCATGGGAGGGCTCACCCGCCTTACTCTTGGAGCCTGCTCTGACAAGCACTCAGGTGACAATACAAGGATCTCCACCCAGAACAAACTGTGATTCTGCTCGGCTAAACCAGGAACCAGGAAATCAAACAAATTCTATCATCAGAAACGGCCCTCAATGAAACCATACTTGATCTCAAGCTTGTACTCAGGAGCCATGCAACAGCTCTGAGGCCTTGCATTCCAAACTTGCTGAAAGCCTGCACAGAACCACAACTCCCATGCTCGAGTTGGTAATAATTTCTATGACTTCCAGATACCTTTACGATAAAGGGCTGCACCCCTCTTAAACCCTGTAACCTTGATGCTAAGGTCCTTCAGCCTGCAGGTAGAAGGCAGACCGGATCAATCTGCAGGTCGTGTGGCTTGGTCATCTCTCGTCATGGTCTTGCAAACCCTTGAACCTCTTTCATGATATGGGTAGCTTTGCAAGTGAGGGTCCCTTAAGTCCCCCAAGCAGTACGGCAGCCTGACACCAAAAAGGAGACCCCCAAAGGGATCCTAATTTTGAGAATTGAATTTGTGGCGCAAGTTTAGTTCGCACGCCACATACCGCATGTATATGTACATCTCTGTCTATCCTTCACTAGCTACAGCAATCTTGGTAATCAACCAGCTAACTAACTATTGACTGACGAAGTAACGGACGAAAAAACGAAGCAACACAGCCCACTGGCATCAAGCCGCAAAGCCGAAAAACACCCGACACAACAACATAATGACAAGGCGCAAGTATTGCAGCTGCTTGACGCTTTAGCTTGAACGTCGCGGAACCACTGTTACTTCAAGACTCAAGACACCGCAACAAGTCTCAGATATCACTGAATTTCGCGACGGTGTGGATCCATAGTGCCGAATCGCACCTAAGACGACGCGAGTGCAGCCTGCCACACAACCACTCTGAACAAGCTAACAAAAATGTGTGTCCACAAGTGCGGCACATTTTTAAAAGGGTGAACCTGTGCAGGTGGAAGCTCTGCATGAGCTAAGCGATCACAACTCACACCAAGCGCTTCTCAGACAAGCAGCTCCTTGGATACATTTTGAGGGTCTAATCGAGGGTTCGCTCCCCTAGATCGGCAGCTAAACCCTCTTCGTCTCGTGGAAAAAAGCCACCGGTGCTGTTGTCTTGACACGATTCTAATTGAATGTCAGGCAAGTAGTCCTACGACCCGTGCCATCATGGACACCGACCATAATAACCGAGAAGTCTGGGCCACTGGTCATCTAGGAGAAGCACTATACAGCTATATGCGCAAACCAACACTTCAAGAGTTCTTTGCCAAGGCCATCGCCATCGCTTGCCAGGCTCACATGGCTCTTGCAACCGCAAAAGCCCTGAGTTCAATGTACCAGGGCTCGGTTTAGGCCTCTCGTTAGTAGGCTATTGACCAGAAGAACAACTCTACAAGATGTCGGTCCAGCCGATCAGTAGTTTGGAAAGCAGCGGGCGCAAGGACTGAGTAAGCCTTATGTTGTGCCATATGCAACATTCCGATACAGCACAGCGACTGTTCACGATCTACACTCTACACGTCCCCTTCCCCCATCTCTTTCATAACTCAATCCCACCAGAGATGCAACTCGGCCCCAAACCAAAACCCAAAAAGCTCTGACAACACATGACATGTTAAGCTTCTGCTTCAACTACATACAGATTGAACAAGTTCGAGCATTCGGGGGTACCATAAGGGGCTCTAAAAGGCACCATAAGGGTACCATACGGGGCTCTTATAGGGTACCATAAGGGTACCATAAGGGGAACTTCAAGGGTACCATAAGGGGCTATCTATATTCAAATCCAAGAGGGTATTACATCTGAGAGCACTTTACATCTAGTTTTTGAAAACCTTGTATCATGCTAGTTCTCTCGCGATCCTACGTGAATGCTCCGGACTGCTGAGGCTCCAAGCGACATGGCCAACACCCTACGTGCTAATGTTTCAACCGGAGGTGTGCACTGAAGCATAGATTTTTTCTGCAAGCGCAGAACATATCACACAAAAAACCTCCCGAACTTAATTTTGTTCGAGCTCTTTAGAATTACGCACAGCCTCACACCCTTAAAATCACTTGTGTCAGTACATCCCCCCTTCAAAAAAACACGCCCTACGCCCAGGCTCTTGATACTCTTCAACTCCTGCTCACCCAACTTGCCTCAGGCTGTCTGAATGTGGAGGGGAGGGGGGGGGGCCTGCAACAAGCTGAGGCCGCAGGGTGTAATATAGTGGCCTTAGTAGAATAGGGTTTTCTACTATATACTTGCAGTGAGTTATCCCAAGTAATATCCCAAGAACAAGGAATGATATACTAACTACTCAGGCTTCTATATGAGAGTGCAGGGTTTGGGGAGGCAAGCCTGGGAGCGTCGGGCTGTGAGTGCTTCGGGCTTAGGGGCTTCGGCCTGCAGGGGCTTACCTGTCAGTCGACGAACCTACGGCTTTGGGGCCTATGCCTATGGCCTACAGGTAGAGGGTAAACACATATATACTATGTTGCAAGGTTAGAGGTTAGAGGTAACGGCTTGGAATCTTCTTGAATAGGGGCGGGTTGGAGCGAACATACAGAAGCGTGAATCATGCAAGTGGTTTTCGTTCAGGGCAGATCAAAATGATTCGACAGTATTCCTGCATTCTTACCTGACGGTTCAATACACCTACAATAGTCGTGCTATAACCTATGTAGACATATCAGGTCATAGCCTCTTTGCTCCAGGCGTAGACAGATAAGGTCAGAACCTTGTGTGTATGGGTTGGGGGTAACTTGATCTCCCACATTCAGCTCGCATCTCTGATCTGCGCATACCTGTGAGGTGTCGTTCATCGGAGTCAAGCTGGGGGTAGCTGCAGAATGGGGTTAAGGCTTGTTGGTTGACTTAGGACGTCTACAAGTGATCGTTAGAACTTATGACTTCAACCCCTTGTAGCCCATCTTAACACCCTGCTTGGCAAGTCAATGCGCTTCCTCATAACATTTTTCGCTGTGACAGAGTGAAAGCATTTGCACTTAGTAGTTCTGCCATCACTAGAAAGAAAGAACAAACAACGACATACTACAACAACGACAAAAACGGAATTGCAACACAAACTATCATGTAACTATTCCGACTATTCCGATGCTGTCACCATGATTTGAACTCCAATGCACCGAGCAGGGTAGGGTCTGAAAAAGACCTTACGCCAGGAGCCCGCAAATCCAAACCCACAAAGGTTTAGGGAGTACGGTTTAGGGTTCAGGCTTTAGAATTTAGGGGTTTAGGGTTTAGGGTGTAGGATTTAGTTGTTTTGGGGTTTGGGGTTTAGGGTTTAGAACCACAGAAACCCGAATCTAAGGGCCCTATACCGTGGGGAACCTACTAAGCCCTAAACGCGCTGCACCAACTTCAAGGCCGGAACTAAGCAGAACAAATCTACACCCTACTGTACCAGCCTGAATTGTAGTACCTTTCTTAGTCTGCGCTTGTACATTCTTATGGGATCCTAATCATACAACAAGACCCACTCCCCGCCTCAACAAAAAAACACAAGTACCAGGTTTCCGGGACAGGTGGCCGTCGCGGTGGACAATCCAGTCGGGCAGGTGGTGAAAGCCTAAACTGACACCAGGTACTTTGGCACAGGTCGTATAAAACCATGTTGAAAAAAACAAACCCTACAAAACGCAAAAACCTCTGAACCCTTGAAAGTCTAGTTGCAGTAGAGTGCTTGTTGTCACACGCGGAGGGTCTAGGCAATACAGGCTTTCCACCCATTGCGGGTTTAGAATTTTGGGCAAGGCAGGCAGGATTTCACACATGTACAATGTAGCACACAATAAGATTCAGGAAAAGAGCATCTCCGAACACAACAAAACATTCGGGAGCAAAACTTGTTAATTTGATCTTGAGTTGTCACCATCCATGTCGCTTAGCTCCCATTTCGCGAAACATACAGCAACATCAGGAAACAGCAACTCGAATAACTGAGTGGCTTAAGCCTGCCAGACTAAGCCCAACATGGTGCACCCAACGAACAAATGCACAACCCGGCGACACACAAGCCTCAAAAGGACACACATATGATGGACAAGGCATTCCCGCTTATGCATGATTCCAACATGATGCCTTGTTACTTAAGCTGCTACTGAATGACTGCAGCCTCGAGAATCAAGGATCGACAGTTTCGGGGCTTGTGCTCTTGGGGCCTGGGATTTGGGAGTCTAGTTGCTGCAGGCCCTCTAAAGTCCAAGCAACCCCGAACACGCAAACACAAGGAAACAAACAAGTTGAACACATCAAACAAGTTTCCCAAGCGAGCCTCAAACCACCGAATCTTGCAAGCAGGTCCGCGAACATTACCCGAGTTTCTTCAAGTTCCCTACACGTGATGCTCACTACTCGAACAGGGCTGCCGAAGGATAATCTGCCACAAGATACTTCTAGGGACTCACGAAACCCGCCACCACTTCTTCAGACTTCCACTTACTTCTCCAATAAGCCAGGGAAATAAAAGGTTAAACTTTCAGATTACTACTAAATTATAAGAACCCCAAAAGTTTAAAGGTTGGGTGTTGGGGAACTAAGTCCATACTGTGCAATCGAAACTCGAAAGCCCCGGCCGGAGCTTTCTCCCTGCCAAGCGGAACCCCCAACCTCAAAAACTCGACCTCGCCCTAAACCCAGATTCCCCAAACAGGGTAATAAGCATGTTTTACTCCAAACCCAAATTCCCCAAACCTCCATCTCTGCCGGGTTCAGTGTGCTTCGAAGCTACAGGGATACTTTTACGGTCAACCTTCGATCCTGGGGCTTCGAAACACTTTACGGTCCACCCTGAACCCCGAAAACTAATTCTGGCCTTCATATGTCGAATGGGGATTTGAGGTATATTGCAGTATGCCTAAACAAAAGCACCCTAAGGAATAGCGTTGTCAATTGGTCTTGCACCCTTTTCTGCAATCTGAACCTCAAGCCCTTAACAGGTGGTGATGTTTACAATCGCACAGCAAGGGGCTGCTGAAGGTCACCACACACTTGTCGCTGAGGACTCCGGGCACCCACCCAAAGGTGCCTTACGGTCTTTTTTTGCCGGGCTTGGTGTTTCGGGTTGCTCACGGCTCTTAACAGCTTCTTCAGGGAATAGACTTTGAGACTTCGTAGCTTAGCCTCAAGCAGCGAAACATGAGGTCTAAGCCTCAACTGCCTCAGCCCTGCTTATCTTGGGCAAGATTGCACTCCGAGAGCTCTTGGCCGTCCACTTTGTTGCGTGTTCTATGTTCTTCAAGTTTTGGGTCTTCATTGAAGATCGTTAGATCTTTGTTCGAGACGCCATCGACAAAACACACGGCAAAGCCCTCAAAAAAAAGCCATGCAGGGTCTAGATGAATGTGGAATCCTTCTTGAGTCCGCTGTTAGATTTAGACTTGCTTAGATGCTTGAAACATCTGTGTTAGATGCTTGAAACATCTGTGCGACCATTCCGGAGTGATCTTCATTATGTCATATAACCGTAGTGTAGACACCCTACAAAGCCCATTCTAATTATTTAGGCTGGTCCTTTGGTTCTTTAGCGCTCTCGAACAACAATCGTAACACAGATCCTCTGAGGTCCAAAAGGCGAAAATGCAACATGCCCAAAGGCTTGCCCAGACTACTATTACGATGTCGTCGAGCTCCGAATTCCACAGAAGCCTGGTCGGATGTCTGAGACCCGGACCTTAACCCTACACTAAACCCTACAAGCAACACAAACCCCAAAGCCCCGGTCTTCATTTATAGGCTCTAGATTCTCTGGATCACGATCCTTCAACTCGAGTCTAAACCCTAGTAGAGGAATCTTGTAGAACCCTGAAACGAACCTTAAGAACCAATGTAGGAACCCTTGAAGGAACCAGCAGAACCCTTATAGAACCTTTGAAAGACACCATGGATACTCAGATCCCAAAGGCTCTGCGCCAGCAGAAGGACGTCGGCCTGTGTGCTCTTTGCAGCGAGGAGCAGAAGGGAACTTTAATATTTAGGGTTTTTTGCTTAGGGCTGTAGGGATTTATCTTGTTCCGTTAAAGGGCTTTTATAAGGGTGTCTGTGAGGGTTTAGGGACCCCTTTTCCAAATGCAAAACTCGCTGCATGGTACTAGCCCTAAGCCCGGTACAGCCCGAAAGCCCGAGAAACGGGGTCCAGAGCATTAGGGTTTACAGTGACCCTGAATATGGGGTTTCCGAAAATTGGGGTACCTTATTTTGCGGGGTCCTTATAATACGGATCCTATTATTTAGGGTGCTATATTAGGGTCCCCTATTTTCGGAAACTCCCAGATCACTCCAAACTCCAGATCCATCCCTTCAACTTGAAGGCCTAAAGACGATTCAGGGCTTCGGCTCCTGCCCTTCCTTCCTTTCAGGAGCTCTCAAGCAGGAAGGCCCCTTCAGGGTACCACGGCTGGCCCTATCAATTTACCCTCCAAACCGCTAGGGTTTCGGGTTCAGGGTTACTGTGCTAGTTGTCAAGAGGAATCGACAGTGGCAACGGAAACAAGACGGTTAAAGGCGATAAGGCCAGTAAACAAAGCACAAGCAGCATGGCCAAAATGGCTGTGTAGCAACAATGGCGATCGACATGTTCAGAGCAGGGGCAACAGCCAACGAAGCATGTAGAACCAGTAACACACAACGATTCTTAATAAGGGTCTGACACTAAATTGACACTGGAGCGCCCTTGATAGTGACAGCCGTGAGCTTGATCATGTAGACACAAAAAATGCCACAGTTGGCCTACCAAGCACTATCAGTATCATCCCTGAACTAATGCCCAAACCCCAAACCCAAAACGCTAAAACCCCTAAAAAACCTACACCTGAATCTCTGGCCTGAGCCATGTGAGCCCAGTCTTCATCGACAGCTCCATCAAGGTGAACGCTCACGCCGCGATTGCCTGAAGCTTCTCCATATCAGGGTCCCTTAGGTGCGTCTTTATTAACTGTACTTCGTTGGTACATTGCCCTACATGGGTACTTCTCTAAATTAGGGTCCCTTTTAGGGGTGCTTCTTTATTAGAGGGCGCCGTGCTATTTTGTTGGGGACCTGTAATGGGACCCTCTTCTAGAGAACTACCCACATCCTCGACGGCTAGACAGCCCTTTATCCCAACCTGTCAGCCCGAACGCACAAAGTACTAGGCCACGTACATCATCCCGCATTTAAATTATGGAGGGTTACATATAACCCTTAGAACACTACGGTAGGTGCTGGGATCCTGAGGTAAACTCTATCAGGGCATTGAAATTCAGGAAATGAAGGCTTCCGTGCTTGTGGTGTCCAGACATTATGGGTTTGATGAAATCGTCCCCCCTGCCGTCTCGCAAGATCCGGGAAGCGGGTTTTCCGCCGTGCGTAAAGGAGAGGCTTTTAGCATCCCAGTTCTTCTTCAGCCTTCGGGCTGTGTTTTGTTGGGCTGGGCAGCGGTTTACTCCGCGGTTCTGGGGCATGGAATTCCTGGGTAAGGTACCAGAAGCTCAAACAGGGGCCCAGCAGGCTTTAATGCTGCACGGAATTGCAGCCTCAGACTCCATGACTCTAAGCACCCTAGGAGTCCTCCGTCATAGACCTTGGCCCCTACCTGTAAACCTCAAACCCTCGGCCTGCAAAGCAGTAGCTTGTGACCCGCTAGTTTAGGGTCACATGGGCCCTTCAAGCAGTGGTTTAATTTGTTATACCCTAGACGCCCTGGACCGTAGTCTGTCGGATCCCTCAGCCCTAAACCCTGAACGTCAGACCGTTGGTGAGTTCAGTATAAACCCTAACATCCCGCAATCCGAAGCCCTCGCAGGCGAAGCTTAACCCCCTGAAAACTCAAACAATTTCAGCGGGAGTTTCTATATCAAGATAGTACGCAAACAAGATTAGGAATGAGGGTGCTCATAGGATCTCAAGAAACGTTTAAAGCTTAAACCTACAGAATGCTTTCGTAAGTCTCGAAAACGCCACTCTGAAATCGAAAAGTTCAAACTGAACTCCTGCTTGGTTGCGGTAGCCATCGAACTCAGAACTGGTGTGCTTCCCTTCGGTGGAGCTGTAGACCTGGTAAAAGCTCCAGGTTGTCAGTATGTCTTCGCCTGGCTTAGCGTTTACGCTTTTGTTTTTTAGCCAAAGTCCTTAAACTCTCCGGGTTCGGATTCTGGTTGAGACTCAACAGACTCCGAACCGAAACTAAGGCTCAATGGATGGACAGGTTAACAGGTTTGACTTGTAGAACTCATGTTGCTGCTCCGGGCTTCGGCGCGTTATTGCCTTACGGCATGAGGACCCCCTCGAGGAGGGGGTGTGTGGGGGGGGGGGGGGACATGTACCATGCAGGTGCCCATGCTACTTTGTCAGTGGGATATGGAGTTTAGATCCTCAAGATACGTGTGTGAACATGGAGCGCAAAAGTGAGGATTGCTGGCATAGTGGACCTTACATGGAATCCTGGAGCCCCCTCACTTGCCGTACGATGCTAGGGCATTTGGTCGTTTGAGGCTAATGAGGGGACCTCAGCAAGTAGAAGAACGGCTCTAGTGGTATACTGCAGTACTAGTATGAAGGACCTCGTGTCTAGCTGTTCCGACCACTATATATGTTGCAGCCTTGCTGAGGCTTTTGTGGGATCGTCTACTCCGTGGATCGCCCTCAACAGTACTGGGAGGTCCTGCTGTCGAACTTACCTTTTGAACACTGAACATGAAACTATTTGGCTTTAAACTCCTACTGGCAAAATGGCAAACCCATGGCGAGCCACATGAAAGTCAACATTGTCGAATGCAGACTTGATCGTATCGATGATGCGGTAGTTCCTCGGAACAGGAATCGGATCGACTCGTTAGGCTCGGGGTTCGGGGCTTCTAGCCCCGGGTGCAGGCTTTGGGTGCCGGTGTAACTAATCCCAAAGGCTCCATGTACCTTTATAGTAGGGACTTAGGCCTTAAAGGGGTCCCTATATAGGTACTTTAAAGCGTAAGTATCTACTATGTGGATACATGGAGCCTTAGGGAATGTTCAGAGAAACCTGCAAATCAAAGCACCAAACCGGCAAACTTCGACAGACTCTTCTAGCTTCCCTGCCTCCTCCGGCCAGACTCTAGGGATGTTGGAATTTGCAGAGAAGGCCTACGATGAAGTATCTAAGTTGTGGGACATAGCGCTTCAAGAGCTCGTCGAATGGGCTAAACCCCTAACATAGGGGCCTAACTAATTAGAATAGGGTTTGGGGGCCCATTATGCTATAACTATAGTAAGAACCCCCCCTCCAAAAAAAAAATGAATAGGTAATTTATTTAGCCGCATTTAGCCTCTTATATTATTGACCCGTTCCACCTGCGACTCGCCTGAACCTGCGGAAAAAACCCTGAGCCTGGCATGGGCCACCGTGGCTTGACGGAAGAGACCACGTGCAAGACGGTTTAGGGTTTAGGGTTTGGGTTTAGGGTTTGGGTTCAGGGTTTAGGGTTTAGGGTTTAGGGAGCCGAGCCGATGACGAGCAACGAGCATTGCTGATGAGGGTGCACGGCTTAGAACTCATGTAGACCGGTGATGAAACCCCTTTCGTCAACGGCCTTAACATTAAAAAGCCTAGCATTAGGATCCGTAATGAAACTTGTACTCAGCGATTCGGAAAACACAGACAGACATGTGCGCACACACACACACACACAGAGACAAACCAGCTAGAGGCTCAGGCGCGCTTTTTCGAAGGATTCTCGACTTAGGTACCCTTGCAGTAGGTTTCATTTACTATAATACATTATGATACACTACGTATAAGCTACTATAGTCTATAGTTAATACTATAGCATGCTATAATATACTATAGTATACTACAGACACCCCCAGATCTCAACAAAAACCCTAGCCGGATCCGCAGACCCCTTGACCGTTCGTCCCGAGGGGCGTCTCGTCTGGGACGGCCCGCCAGGAGCCCGTTTCCAGGTCTCCGCGACGGACGTGCATAGCGACGGTGATCTTGCCACCCTTGGTTTGGTATGCTCTGGGCCGTAAACCCTAAACCCTAAACCCCTAAACCCTAAGGATCTATAGGCTATCTTACGCATGCGTCTGCTGCAGTGAGCGAGCCGCAGTCTGAAACCTTGCCTGCCTCTGGGTTTATGGCGAGGTCTGGTTAGCACCCTACCCCCAAAGCCAAAAGATGAGAATGGCTGCCTCTTTCAGCGCGCCCTCGAAGTGGGGGACCTTCTGTCTCATGAGCGGAGAGGACCTGAACGGAGGTTTTTATAGTCATCTTCAAGGGGCTCTTTTGTATGACGATGAGGGTCCCTGTGAAGCTGTGAAGGGGTCCAACGAGATTACTATAAGGGTTGCTTCCAGGGTTTAGGCGTTGGGGCATCCAAGGTTTGAGGGTGTAGGACCTGGTAGCTGACATCCAAGGTTTTAGGGTTTTGGGATTCGGCTTTTCGGCTTGGACTTGGTGTTTCGACTCTCACACTCGTACAAGAGTGTTTGGGGTTTAGGGCTTTTCGGGGTATGGGCGGAAGGGGTTGAAGCTGTCGGCTTTCAGGAAACTTCTCTTAATTAAGTAGACCCGTGAAGGGCACCAACGTGCGAACACCGAGCCTGAGGGTCCACAGATATCGAAAAGCTCGCTCGAGGAATTCGAGGAATACCATCTGCAACCAACAGTAATCCACAACAAGGGTTTAGGGTTTAGGGCTTAGGGCCAAACACATGTAATTATGTGTAATCAGATGTTTGCACCCTGCAACTATCCAGACCTGGAGGTTTTATATACGTTTATAGCAGTACGTAAGGTACACATATAAAGACCAAATGGATAATGTACATATATATATATATAT